TTAGTGAGCTATTGAATGTCAAAAATAGTAAACTTACAAATTAATATGAGTATGGCTAGTTTTAGAATGAGATATGAGTTATTTTTCACCTCAGGGTTTATTAATTATCGTAAGCTGAAATGTGTGGGACAATATATTTTACTTTTCATAGTTAAAAATGTGGTAGGATTGACTGATCAGTTATCCAATATTTAGTAATATAATTTTATTCTAGAAATTAATAAATGTGTTTGTCTTATAATTTTATTGCATTTATTTATCTTGTGTATTTATTTTTTTGGGTGGTCTGTCAAGTCCCTCCATTTGTTTGGGCCAAGAGGCTTTTTAAGAAACATGTAACATTGATTGAATTTGGATTATTGTTTTCCCCTAGTGGGCTTCACAACGCGCCCTATTGTAGTAACCCATTACCACTATACGAATGTTCATATGATTATATGATGTTTTTTAGTTAGTTTGTCTGGCACTTAACGAGTTTAAGGTTTTAAAAGTCATAAAAGATATTAAAACGCCTAAATTTTCAGATATTTAACAATGGTGAAATTTATAAAAGTAACAACCCATAATTTTTCAGACATTTAACATTGATATATTCCTTTTTATTTAAATCTTTGCACTTTAAGAGTAAACAGCACGGCATAGGAACAATGATTTTCTAATTACACATCTTTTAAATATATTTACTTGCAACTACTTGAATACAAAACTTTTTTTAAATTTACTAAACTTGGATTATTATTATCAGTGATTAGTTAATGGAAGACATTTTTATAACAAGACTGGAAATATTTATAAGGTTACTTACATTTTTTATTGCAAAATTCAATAATGGGATCTTGACCCATCTTAGAATCAAGTAAAGACAAATGTTTTACATATTGATGCAAGTATGGTACATTTACAGTATATGTTTTTTTTTTTTTTTTTTTTGTACTGATGATATGTTGCAATACATATGCATAGTATACCATAGCTGCCAATCTTGGAATCTTGAAAATTAGGAGATTTTTGTAAGAAAACTGGAATGTTTTCATGCCGTGCAGTGATACCACTTCACAGGAACTCCAAACTGACCTAGTTCAATAATATGAGTCATGCATTATAAAGTGACTTTAATTCCCGTTATAATGCATGGTTCATATTATTAAACTGTTTGTAATTCAATTCTTATGTAAAACATATTAGCATTTAATTGCATATTCTAAATTTTATGTTCTTTGCCAGATTTCATTTTTTTATTTTCTCATATCCATACACTGAAAAAATTCCGAGTAGTGAAGGAAATCTTTGATTTATGAAAGTACTTTTAAATACAATGGTAATAAAATCAATAATTACTGTACATAGTATTTGCGTGGATACCATATACCAAAGTAAGCAAAATTAAATATAACTATTAATTGATAAAAAAACATAACTTGAATCTGCATATACAAATCTGCAAATGTCTACAGTAGACTAAGACAACTTAGATCAAATGAAATTTAATAAGACAAGGATCAATAAAATGTGATGAGGGAAAAAAATGCAATTTGTATGGAATAAAATTTAGTAAGATAAATTAATCTGAAAATCATATGTGGTAAAATGGAATTTTCCTAATTTAAGTTTCATTAAATCAATCAATGGCACTTACATATTAACAAAACCACCTTGGTGTAGTTTGCCTATTTCTTAAAGATGCAATGAATACATAAGTCATTATTCAATTCAATAGCAAGAATTTAATTATTATTTTCATTAAATATTATATATATATAATATAATTAGATATTTACTCCACAAAATTAATCAATAAAAGTATTTACAAACCAATTTTTATTTCTTTTGTTCTGGTGGAAATTTAATGGCAATCGCTTTAACATCAGATTCATAACAGTTCTTCCCATCAATGATTTTGCAGCAAAACATTGCATTCCTGCAGAAATTGTACTGCAATTTCTTCCACTGCCTGACAATTCCACAAGTATATTTTAAAATTAAGGCAAAAAATACCACAGTGTCCTCATAAAAATCTATTCGAACTGAAAACACAACAAAAAGAATACATAAAAAATGGCATTGTTGCTCAATGAAAAATCATTATAAGTATGGTTGACAGAATAATTGTTATGAGTATGGTTGCCATAATTTGGCATATCTTGAGCATTTGTTGACTTCTACTGAAGTAGTTGCACTAATATATAAGTACCCAATAAATTCAATTTAATGCTCTGAAACATCTTCCTTGGTAAAGGCTAAAATTTAAAAACCAGGAGATATGCTGTAAAACTGGGACAGTTGGCAGCTATGGCATATGTTTTTGCACTAAAGCAATATTGTGCTTTATAATTTATTTGTAAACCCTCCAAATTAAATTCTTAAATAAAAATTTAGCTACTAATAAAGCCCTTTTTTTGTTTCCTTTTGTACTTTTACTTTCTTGTACGAAGTAAAAAGGAAGTATTGCAATCACGAAAAGTTTCAGGCAGCATATTTCAATGAAAAATATCCATTTTGACCACTATCGAATGCAATTTAATGATGTTTTTGCGTGATATCTGTACGTAAGGGCAGAATAAAAGACTCTTTTCCTCTAAAAAAATTATAAAACTGCTTTAAAATGAATTCTGAAAAGAATTTTTCGTGGCATCTGTACGAATGTATGTACGTATCTCGCATAACTAAAAAACGAGTAGCCTTAGAAATATTGAAATTTTGTGTATAGGACTGCTATAACATGTAGATGTGCACCTCCTATTTTGGTTGCAATCGGCCGCACCAAACGTATATAAATATATTTATATGTATAGTCAGTCTGTTAATCGACTCAGTGATCTGTTTCTTTACTCTTATATATTTGTAAATTGTACATTTTTTTTTTTTGCTTTAAAAATGATTGAATTATGTTGTCCTTATCTTCCGGTTAAAGTTTTTATGCCTTTATTAAATTTGTATGCAATAGTTTGACAATTATCAACAATTTCAAAGCTGTTTACGTGCCGCTAAGCCTAATATTTTTTTATGGCAGCCATTACTTGTTTACATTTGAAACAGCAGACTAGTGGATTTGTTGCCAATCTAGAGAAACTTAGCTTCGCAAAAACAAAGATAACGGCTTCATTTACTATTCCGAATTAAACCATACTTAATTCTTTGTGGAATTTTTTCGAGGGAATAAGTGTTTAAGATTTACTTTCGTAATTTTTAATACAGATATTTAGACTTTTTATGTATTTTTGCCTTGTCGTGAATTGAGAACTGAAATTCTAATTGAATGAGAAATACTCAATCATCTGTAAAAAACTGTTTCTTTTTTTTTTTTTTTTAGTTGTTGTTGTTTTGTTTTGTTTTGCTTGCTTAATTTCTTTTATACATCGTTTATAGCTTCATTATTTTATTTGAATAGAACATGTGGCAACGATTAGACAATTCTTCAAATGATATAAATTTTGTGTATTCTGAATTATATTATGAATGAAATATAATACTGTTAAATGAATCTAGTGCCAGACTGTCGCTATGGTAAACAAATGAGTGAATTTTAAAGAATGCATTTATTCTATTGTGATTTATGTGCTGTCGGCGAAGTAGATTTAATTCAATCCAATAAGTGTAAATGAAATGCAAGAAAAAATGCATATAATTTAATATTCCGTACAAGGAAATCATGGTGTACACATCAGATTTTTTTTTAATTACAAAAGGGAGCAAAAATCTACATTTAGCTTATTGCTCCCTTTTGGAAAATTTTCTACACATAACTAAAGCTGCTCACTGAAATCAAAATTAATTAATAAAATAATACCTAATATCAAACATGTTGTAAAGTACTTATTTATTTTATCTAACCAGTTATTTTATATTATGCAGCTTTACTGTCATTTCTTCCTTTCAGTTTTCCTGGCAGAATACTAATTTTAGCTCCACATATTTAAATGAGGTAGAAAGCAATAGTATTTAAAGAGAGGTTTTAGACTGATTGGTTAGAGCACGTTCTACCTGCTGAAGGCCATGTTACTAATTGAAATTCTACGACAGCAGCATGTCTTTGGCATTGCTCTATTCTTGTCAACAGTACTTGTCATCTCGGTAAAGTTTGGGTCAGTTTGCATACTAATAATTTCGGAGCAGCCTTTAAGATTTAACTTACTTTAATTTGAAATTCCTTACATTTGAGTTATGCCATAAATGCTGGCAGGTTTGTAAGCACAAAAAGTGCCTTATGTTAAATTACTTGAGTTCTAAATAAAAAGTTCTACTACTCTTCTGTTATTAGGATTGAATTAAGAAATGTACGTATGTATGCATGTGTATGCACATACCTACATACATATATCCATGAGCACATACATACATACATGCACATGTACATATATTTCTGAATCCAAGTCCCGATAACAGGAAGAGTACCAAGTCTTTTACACACTTCTTACATTTCTGTTGTTTTTCTAGACACAGTGATTAGATCTCATTGGAGACCTAAGCAACTTAGTGCATGCTATCTAAAGAGTCTCCAATATAATTGTATAACATACATTTTACTGCCTTTTCATTACAATGGTTAATAAACAAACTATGTGCATTTCATGCTTGATGATTGCAAAGAAGATAATACAGGACTTATAACAAAATTAATTATACATAATTCCCACAAACTACTTATTTATCCATTACAAAAAAAGTAACAATGGAATTGGCATGCCAGCATTTGGAATTTTACTAAAAATTACATAATACAGTCATTTGGTTAATAGCTAAATGTTATCTGTAATCACCGCAGCTGTATCTACAAGTTGTGATAATGGTGTTATGTCTAAATCCACATTAATATCATTAGCATTCATTCACAAATGCATAAAATGCTCCATAAGCTATGTTTACTTCAACTGATCCCAAACTCTTAACATTTAACAAACTACTATCCAACATGCTACTTATTTATCCATTACAAATAAAGTATCAATGGCATTTTACTAAACATTACATAATACAGTCATTTGTTAATAACTAGATGTTACCTGTAATCATTGCAGCTGTATCTACAAGTTGTGATAATGGTGTTATGTCTAAATCCACATTAATATCACTAGCACTCACAAATGCATAAAATGCTCCACCATAAGCTATGTCAACTTCAACTGATCCCAAATTCTTAACATTTATTTTGGCACCTACAGATAAATATATATTTTTAAAACTGAAGCAAAATCACAATCACATACACACACATACATATATATATACACACAAAACTCCTTGAAACATTTTAAAAGTTCATAATCAGTAAACTATTCAATTTTAACAAATTTTATAATACTGAAATAGAGTAACTCTGAAAAATATTTTTACATTTCTTGCAAATGCTCAGTCTATCCAATTTGCTGATATAGATGACTATGCTATAATCCATTTCAATCCACTGTTAATGCATGCCAGCATTTCATCAACAAGAACCACAACATCAATGATGGCATTTTCGCATTGTCCACCCTGCAGTGAGAAGAATAATGGGAAAAACCTTATACTACCAAAATAGGTAACCTAGTCTATAACCAACATGTATTTAAACAGGCAACCCACTAACGGTTGCATGTGCAAGAACATGATGAGCAACATTTTGGAATTCCCATGAAATAAATGATCGAATTGTATGAAAATGTACTGCTAAAGATTGCCAGCAAAGTATTCAAATGCGAGAAGGAAATTGGTCTGAGAATAGCAGAATATCTTTATGATAACTGCTTGCTTGATTTATTGCTTGTCTAAAGAATATACACATTGTAAGCTTTCTCATTCTTACAGTTTTTATCATGTCAATAAGTCTTTGAATACAACTCCTTACTGATGGATTTTCTTCGAGAAATATGAGCGTCTACTATGGAAGAAGAAAAATGCCAAAAACGCTTTTCTGAAGTAAAGAAAATCTCTTGACTTTTTGTAGTTAAAACAGGTTTATATGTACATGGAGAGCAATGCCAAGAATTCTGCAATTAACTGATTTTTCTTTTTTTCAAGTTAAAAGAGATTGATGTGTACATACAGAGTGCCAGTTGCTGTGCAATGCCTCGAATTCTGCAGTTCCGATTTTTTTTTTAAAGTTGAAACAGCTCCGTGTACACACAGACCAGGAAAATAGAAAGTTAATGTCTTAGTGCGAATGTTTATCACGCTTTAATTTAGTTAATTTGTTACTGTTTTATTAAATTTGGAATGTTTTGTGTAACTGGCACTGTTCTGTTATGGGGACCAGATTCAGAAATGTATGAATGTATGCACGTGTATATATATATATATATATGTACACACACATACATTGATGCTCACATGCATACATGCATCCATAAACACATATATCCATCCATACATGCAATACATACATACACTTCTGGATCCAGTCCTGATTACAAAACAGTATCATAAAATTCATAATGTTTTAATATGGATGTTTCCTGCATTTTTAATTTTGTTAATTTGTTGCTGTTTTATCTAATTTTCAGCATGCAGCCATTTTTTAAAAATGGTTACTGTTTTTCTCATGTTAGGTTGGCAAAAAAGTAGTTGCCAACAATTGCTGTCTTTATGAATAACATAAAAGCATAATTTTCTAAAAAATATTTATGACTATGCATCATCAAAATATAAAAATACTATAAGACTTCAATTTCTATTGAAGGAAAAAATTTGTAAAATACATGAACTAAAAGATGGTAAACATTTTATACTTTCCTCTGTCAACATCATAATATTTAAAAAAAAAAATCATAAAACAAAATCTGCACAAAATGCTATTTTATAAAATGACAGCCATAGAACATGATAAGCCTTCATACAGCTTGATCTCAACTCTGTCGAAATCAGATACACAAGAATATAAATTTGATCTAATTACTGTTCTTGTAGAAAATGGAAGAAATTTTTTTCCCAGCATTTCACAATTCAGTGGAAAGCCCTTCTATAAATGCACTAACTTTTATAGAGAGTTCCTCAAATGGTATAGCAGTTAGAGGAGCCTACTGTAGTACTGAAAGGTCCGGGTTTGGAATCCCAGAGAAGGCATCATTGTAACTGTCTGTCCCTTCATAGCAGACAATGGTGACCACCTATTATGTACCTCCAGAATAAAATGGCCACCAATTCTGGGCTCAGGAATGGCCAATATACTGAATAGGCAAGTGTCTGCCATTGGATTAAAAAAAAAAAAAAAATATGGAGGGCTAGACAAACTTCATATTAACGTATCATATCATCCAATATGTAATGTTTCTCAACAAGGTCTATTAAAATATGTTATAACAAGTGATTTTTCCAGCTACAGGATGCATGCCTGTAAGCCAGACACTAATTTGCTGCTTTAATAGCCTCTCATGAAAATGGTGGTTACAGAAGAGCACATCAGATAAAGCATATGTTAAAAATATGGAGGAGTGCTTTGAATATTCACAAGTGCCAACATTGTTTCTGTAAATTTTGGCAAAGCAACCTTAAACTTTTGCAAGCTACTGCAGGTGCCCTGTCTTTTTTGATAATAATGTACTTAAAACTACAACAGAATGAAATCAATATGCAGTTATTGAAAAGTAAGCAGAAAAGATAAATTCATCATCAGCAGCAGTTCATCACCATTTGACAGAACCTGGAATCCTGGCTAAGCTTTTCAGGTAGATGCCACATGAACTTGCTGAGGCTACTCAAAGAGAACATGTGAATTGCTCTTCATTCATGCCAAAATACTTTTTTTGTGTGTGTGTGCATGACTAATGGTTTGAAGCTTGCAAAATTTCACTACAGAAAAGAATCCAATTCCCATGAAGCACTTTAAACAGACCTTCAACCCTTTTTCTCTAACAAGTTGGCTGATTTCTTTAGCAATGACCCCCCCCCCTAAAAAGCTACTAGGTCATTGGCGAAATATTATTGATTCAGATTTATTGAAAATCGTTATGGAAAAATGTTATCGATTCAGAATATAGTTCAATAAAATCTTTTACTTTTTAATTTCTTTACCTACTTCAAAATATGACATTACTTATAAGATGATCTAATATTTTATACTGAAGTTTATTTTATCATATTCCATAGATTATATTAGAGGTGGGACAAATCCTAAATTTTCTCAAATATGAATCCTAAGATGTTCTTAAAGCTTTCATATGAATATAAAAGAAAACTCTGAAATTTCATTTAAACTTAAAAATACAGTTTCTAATATTAATATATCAACATTTATTAAGAAAATACAAGTGAAATTTATTTAATGAAATACACAATTAAAATACTAAATCTTGAGATTCATTTTCTTAGTTTAATTAGATATGACACATTCAAGTAACAGTTTTAATTTTCTACATTTCTCAGAACCCTCTTAAATTAAACCAAGTATAAATAAGAAGGGAATATTAGATTAAAAATTAGCATAGATGAGGATCACACATAGGAGAATTAATGTAACGTGATGCTCATTTACAGAGAATTTAGCATAGTATGATGCTCATCATTAGCATAGATGAACATCCCACTACACTAAATTCTCTGTAGAAAATTAAAAATGTACTACTTAGGGCAATCATGAGATGATCAAGATCCACAGAAGTTACAACTATCATTTTTTTTTTTTTTTTTTTTTTTTTTTTTAAATGAAAGTATCTTCCAGGTATCAACAAAACTAATCTTTTGAGTTAAATCGTTCTAGATTAACAGGCCTAATCACAAATTTTCAAACTAGGAAATGTCATAGAGAAAAAAGTAATTACAGTAAAAGTAGTAAAGTAAAGAAAAATTGTAGAGTAGTAATTACCAGATTTGTACAAAAATGCTGGCATACTCTGAAAGCGAACTGGGCCACTGACTCCATTATTATATTGAACATATGTCTTTACAGGTCCACAGGGGCAATGAAAAATTATCTCAGTCTCAGGAGAGGATGGAGATACCAATCCCTGGTCAACAACATAACGTCCTAGAGCTATAACACCATGACCACACATAGAACTATAACCTTCATTATGCATAAATATTACTTCAAATTCATTATCAAATCCTAGTTTTGGAATTAGAATAGCACCATACATATCATTATGACCTCTAGGTTCAGTCATTAAAAATCTACGGTAGTAATCATATTGTGTTTTCACATATTTCCTCTTTTCTAAAACTGTAGACCCTTCTAAAGAAGGAAATTTTTCCACTATTCTTAGTGGCTCACCAGCAGTATGCATGTCATGAGTTTCAATAACAAGTGCCGATTCAAATCCACAGGAAGTCATTATCTGCAAAGAAAAAAATACAAATAAATAAATAAATAAATAAATTTAATTAGCTGAAGAAAAACTTAATTTATTCCAAAAAAGAAACAATTTTTACTGATTTATTTTAATTATTTAAATCAATTAAGCTTATTATTTTTAACATTTAAGTTTATTTTACATACATAATACATAATAATTCATTTAATTTTTTTAAAAAGGAGGATTTTTTATTAATTAACATTGCATAATATGCAAATAAATCAATAATTCACACCATTTAAAAAGGAACACATGAAGCAATGTTTCTTTCAAAAATTTTTTTTAACCTCAAATACAGTTATAAATGTAAGTGTTTTTACAATGCTATTAAATCAGGCATGTTCAACCTTAGATGCAAAAGTGGATGAACAAATGACCGTACATGACATTGAATTTAGAAATGAAACCTGAATAGATAATTTTTATTAAATACGATAGCCTACTTAAATAGAGTGAATATGCATCTTTATGACCAAAAATAATTGATAAATCAAAAATAGAAACCAAATTTAAAGAGAACTGTTACGGTCTCATATTAATACAAGAGATAATTTAACTATATCCAGGGGTGGAAAAAGTCAACACTATTTCATCAGGTAATTTTCAAGCTAGAATTTAAAAGTTCAGAAAATACCACTCACATTATACACTATAGAAAATAACATAAATTTAATAATTTCAAATTTTCAGCACACCAAATTCACATATGTGATGAAATGTGACAAAACGTAATATTAACTTTATCCATTAATCCAAATTTCCAAGTAATAAAATTTTTCCCTACTTTCTTTAGCTGTTTAATTATATTGCTTACATTTTCTCAGGTAACATTAAATTTACTTGTAATATTAAAAGAGGAATCTACAGAGTTGAAATTAGATACACAATACAAGCAAATAAATGCATTTTTACAAGTGTCCCCCAAAACTTCCAGCACTTCGTGAGCAAACGTTTTTCATGATGTCTCTTTTTAGAAATCACATATACATGCATGAAATTCCTCAAACCCCCTTCTAAAAAATATATAAAAAATGAAATAAAAAAAAAAAAATTTAGATGAACATCTTGAATATACTCTTTAAATAATTCCTGATATTTTTCTTATGACCTCAGTTTCCATAAGTCCCAGACTATCTCCATTCTTGGAATTAGATAAGTATGCTTAAGATTACGCAGTTCAACACAGCATAAAATTAAGAAAACGTTTAAATATATATACATACATAAGAAAACAAATACGCAGTAGAACGTTCTTCAGTAATAAATTTTAATAATTTTGTTCGCCACTTCAATCGGTTACCTCTGTTTTACGAAAAGGTATATCGAATTCAGAGGCAGTCATGTTCTAAAATATCTATAGATAAGTGTCTCTCTAAACGCTCGAAAATTAAATTCATTATGGGTGCCCAGTTTTCAACTGCAGAAAAGCAACGTTTAGCCATGACGTAAAACAAAAGTATATTTCTATGCAGAGTAATCTTCGATTACAGAATCAAACTATAACAATGAAGTGGAAACAAATAATGGTGCATCTGATGACGAACAGTACATTTCATCAAACTTCGAAATACAGGAAGAAAACAAACACAAATGAAATCAAAACAAAGTTTAAGTCTTCCTGCTCGCAGCCATCACCAAATTAAACAAAAATATTATTCTTCGTTAAAAACGTGTAGTATAACTAAAAATGCATTAAGAAACAGAAAAAATTAGATATCAGTATCTGACAATGACAAATTCCTGGTGTTTCATTTATCTGTTATATTGATCACTCGTTCATTTTTCTGTCAGTAACGATGAAATTAGATATATTATATATTGAACAAAAATTAGACCATGAATTCCTATTTGTAGCTATTGAAAGACCAGGAAAAGTAATATTAATCAAATATGAGAGAATAATTAAATTTTGTCTACGTATTAGCAATCTTAACTACTTCAAGGGCAGAAAAGCCCTACAATTTTTTTTTATTATTATTATTATTCTCAGAGGCAAAGGCTCCTGTAGCCTTATCAGAGGCCTAGTGAGAATGCGGAAAAATAAGTTAAATTTTGAAACTTCAATAGCCAATTGGGAGAAGAACTGGAGCCTTCCTCCTTACATTTTCAGAAATGAGATCGAACAGCCGGGTCTACTTCAGATTTGATTCAATAAATGATCTCAGAGTGCATTTCGTACCTCCAAATTTCACCTTTGAGAAACGAGGGAAAAATTCATTCGTAAGTGATGCATTAAATTTGGCAATCTGTAGACAAAGAACAACTATTTATGACGATTTTGCATGCATTTTTATCAATAGGAAACAAGTTGTTTTTTCCTTGTATTAATACAAAATATTAGTGGCGTAAATAGTTATCGACAGAAAATTCTAAAATGGCAGTGGCTTTCTGTGAGACAAATAAAAATTTCCTCTGTACGCACCTTAATAATGACTGCTTTAGCAAACCATACCAGAATATATATATATGTGTGTGTGTGTAAATTTAGTTTGGCAGTCGGGAACTTTTGAAGAATCACAAAAACATTTGATATTCTAAATCAAGGCCAACTAGATATCTAGTTGGCTTTGTCCAAATACCTTTATTACTCGTGACACTTCACAATGGGGGAGGGCAATCTGCACCCCACAATTTTGATGACGGCATATTACATCTTTATCCAAAGCAGAAAAGCAGAAGACGTCCTTCGGCCAGCAAGCACAAGCAGAGAAAGCAGAGAATTGACCGAGCTATTGCAAAGAGCAATGTTGCCGGTTCCACAATTAAAGCCCAAGGTCACTTGACATAAAGAAATCCGGACGTGGAGAAAATCTCAGATGAGAAAACGGAGAAAAAGGGAAGAAGAGAAGTACCAAAAGGAGGAAGACAATCCGATCGGACAAGTTCGCAAAACGTGACGAGCGATCATAGCTTTCAAGGAGAACCGAAGACAATGCAAATCAATGACAATAATATGAGAACATAGAAATAGCTCCAATAACAAATTCAAATACAACTAAACAACCTCATTCAATAGTGCTAAATACACAACACAATTTTAATACAACTATTCAACGCATACACTACAGCAACTCAACAAACAACCTAAGTAACCTATTTACAACACTACTATATCATCACAATGCGAAAAATATCACAGCTTAGTTTTATCAATCTCCAAGAATAATATTCAAGTTACAAAGAACTTCAATCAAAATCAGATGCATTGGAAGTATAAACAGCTACCAATTGAGAAGCTAAGTGAAAAAGTTGTCGTCTCCTCCCATGAAGGTGTGAGCTGCAAGTGGTCTGACGCTTCTATCTTCGAAGAGAATTTCATAATTAAAGGCATGGGAGTAATTAACAAAGTCACATTGCACAGCTTTGTTGAAGAATTTTTCATTAGACCTTCTTATCTTATCTGGAATCGTCTCAAGTTTTAAGTCTTTGTGTAAAAGTTTATTGCGGATAAGATAGTGTGAGAGGGTGGGGTAGGATTGCGACGATATTTATAGTAAAAAATTTCGTTAATCTGATTGGCTAAAACTTATATACAATGCAGAAGTTTCAAGATGGCATAATGCGGAATACGTTCTCAGATATGACGCAGTTTAGAGAAAGTTATTACTAGAGACAAAGTACACAAATTAAAAATGAGCAATTAAGAGGCATTTTAAATTATAATTTTGATTTGCATTCTTTTTTACCTTATATATATATATATAATTTATTTCCTAAACAATATTGATTAATTGATTATATTATCTCCTAAGTTTAATTAAATTAGAATTATTTTAAAAGAGTGAATCCAAACTGGTAAGTTATATTTTGAAAGATGTTTTGAAGTAATTTGAAAGCAAAATGTTAATATGTAATGTTTTAACGGGGACTGGAGTTAAATCATCATGAAGAACAAAATTTCAATTGTAAAAGGAAAAATTATATGTATTTACTAAAGAAATACCTAATATTAATTTTAGTAGAAGTATCTAAGTGAATTTAAGATCATACAACATTATATATATATATAAATTACAAAAAAGAAAGTTCTGAAAGAGTTCAGATTTTAACGATCTTCCAAAAGTATTTGTTAACTTTTATTTTACTCTTTCGCTGAGCTCATAGTCCATCAGTCTGCTATTGCACGCACTCTTGCAAGCTTTATTAATAAGCACCATTTTCTTCGCACTTACGCCATATACGATTCAACAGCAAAATTAAAAAAAAAAAAAATAAAAGCAGCATGTAGTGGCGTAGCTAGGTGTTGCAAGGGGGGATATCTGTTCCCGGACGAAGCATCCATGGGGGACCAAACTGATGTTACAAAATTTTAGAATGGAATGTTTTTCATTCTTGGCATACAGAAGGGGCCGCAAAATCTTCAGTTGTCCTCTGGAGCTGAAAATCCTAGCTACGGATCTGGCAGCATACCAGCGTATGTGTAGAATTCCAGATGCAGTGTTAAGTGTTGGCATGGGCGTAGCCAGCGCAAAATACGGGGGGGGGTACCCGCTACGACTCCTGATACTATACTGTTCTTCTGCCTATTACAGCATCTTCAAGTATATAAGTGATTATTACGTGACAAATGACAATTATCTTAGTATAAATAATAATTAGATTATAAATTTTATCAATTTTAAAATTATGTAACATAATTATGGATATATGTCATTTAATTATAGTATTTATAATTATTATCTTACAAACATTATTAAATACGTAACTCAATAACTCAATATTTTTGTTTTTCATCTAACCGCTTTAACCTTTATTAAAGCGGTTTTAAAAAGCATAATAAAGGAAATAATAAATAACAAAAAAATGAATTTACATAAAAGTTATAAATGCGTCATTTCTTTTGGACATAAAATTAAATTGCAATAAAAAAAAAAAAAAAAAAAAAAAAAAGGCAAAACTTTTTTTGGCCTTTCATTTTGGTTTGGCAATAAAAATATTCTTGAATTCCATTTTTCGTGGCTGTAAACTGGCAAACATATCAATGATTTTATCAATTGATATTTCTTTGGTATAATGAATATGCATTAATCATTAATGCCAAAGAACTTCTGCGCTCATCCGTCATAGTATATCTATTATAATTTTCTAAGCTTTTCAAAGCACTTGTGGAACGTTCACATTCCCAAGTTGTTATCGGCAATGTAACTGCTATGTGCAAAAGCATCAATATTTGGAAAAATGTTTTTATCTGAAGCTTTTAAAGCCTAAACTGGTGTGTCTGGAGGTTCCTTTTGAAGGAGCCATAAAATGCCGTTACCAACGTTTCATGTCTTCGTTTAGAAGTGTTACAAAGAGATTAAATCATCTTTAAACGTCACCTTCAAGTCATTTATAACAATTTCATTTACATGATCGGCGCAAACTGATGGTAGTATGCAAAACAGGAATGATGCAGTCTTTCTAAATTTGAAAATTGTTACTTTAAATGGAAAATGAGAAGGTCAAATAAAGGGATTGAAAACATTTTAAATAACCGAGCTACTACAAACTGTTTTTAGAAAGCATTTTTTTTTAAATTTTAAATCGACAAAATTTCGTTAGTATTGTTTGTCCAAGAGTATTGTGTAAGGATCTTAAGTTTTACTAACGTTTATTTTATTTTAAATCTTTACTATCACTTCTTATTTTCTACTTCCGGCCAGAATTATAAGCGTGAAGGAGTTTTTATGCAAAGTTTGTCTGGCGAACGCCAAGTATTTAAGTGTGGCCTTTTTGCCAAGCGAGAGAGAGGAAGCAGTGAGTTCGAAGCAGGCCGCTTACCTTAGAAGTTACGCAGTTGCTACTTTGCCTTCCAGGCCAGAGGTTTTAATCCTCTTGATAAATTAAACGTATTGTAGTGTTCACAGTCTCTGTGCTACATACGCTTCCTGTTATTATAAGGCCAATCTTATTCTAAAGTTAAATTAGAGTTTAGTTTTATTTTTGATATCTTTTACGTTAGACCCCGAGTGGAGGGTCATTGTATTCCGAAGTACGGAAGTTCATTGTATATAAAGAAAAAATAAAGGGTTTTGTATACCCTTCGTCTGTATCCTGTCTACTTACTACAATTAGTGAACATAGCTTTAGTAAGCTCTCTGTTCCTAGTCAGGTCCATTGTATGTTTCCGAAGAAGGTTAGAAGAAACATTGAACCTGATAGTGGCGCCCGAACGAAGAATAACCATGGCCGAGTTTCAAGAAGAACCTGTGCTGCCTGCAGAAACGGCTCAGAATCCAGAAATGCCAGCTGCCGCCCTGGAAGGATTTGGGTACATCGTCCAGACCATGCGCGCTTCGATGAAACCAGAAGCAACGTTTAATGGAAACTCACCGGTAACCAGTTTTTTGGAAAAATTGGATGACCACTTCATGCTCTACCCCGTGCACGAGTTTCAAAAAGTTACCTTAGCTACCAGCGCTTTGAGGGGCCAAGCGCTTAACTGGTTCAAATGTATCGGCAGAAGTCTCTTGGGTCAAGCAGGAAGTCCCACCTATACTTACGAAAATTTCAAGACTGCCCTACTAAAAGCCTTCCCTGTTGTAAGGGATCGTGCGAAATTAGAAACGGAACTTTTCAGTATATATCAACAAAGAATCGAAAACCTCTCGAGCTTTATTTTAAGAAAAATTCACGTTTTCAAG